ACAGTGACGTTATTTCAGTAGGGAAATATACACAAATGCAATAATATCCGACATACACACACATTCAATCGTTATTCAGTTTTGGCATGCGATCGTATATAATCAAGAAAAGTGAATCTTCACCCATACAATGTGTTTCACAATTACACAAACATAAAGCTCACTAGTAAAGAGTCCTATTCACGTGCATTTGATTAATTGAATAACAAAGAAAACAACCGCTGAGAATGACTAAGTTTATCATATTATAAAGGTGTGATTACTGACGTCATTAATCAGAAGTGATATGTTAACATTGTTATTGATAATACTGACACGTATTCACGTGTATCGGTTATTAATGCTCCATTTAATCGTCAATCGCATCAATTACATTACTCTCAGCAATCAACAGAGCCATTCCCATTACCTATAAAAGTACAATTCTCACCAGCATGACAAACCATTTGCATCAAGAAGAATGATGAAATTGTGCACGAAACATTTGAAGAAATTAAACTAATTTGTGGTCGGTCACCACATCAAAATTTAGGGAGCATTGTTGGATGACTGAACACACAGTTTGCTCTCAATCGTTTCATTCACATCATTATTGGTTGATTGCCTTACTGTGCATTACATACAAAGTCATCATACTGGTGTACTGTTACTCTGGAAACTGTTCACCTCAACGAATTCACAGATCGTTTAAAGTTGTGGCACACCAATAATCAGTATGAACAAATGGTCAATATTATACTGTTGGTTGTTATAAGCAATATGGAAATACAATACTCGAATCACTCTGCTCCAGTATGTTCAAAACACATAAGTCCATAATCCATACGACACTCCCATTTTATCACCATCGATAATTACAAGTGATATTAACTAGAGTGTGAAATTTGAATCGTGATGTATTTCCAGTATTTTCCAGACACATTACTCGCTTACCAAAACAACCCTGATTCTCCTCAATATCATTCATCTACGACGTCACTTGTAGATACTTGATTGAAACACGTGTTTCCTTGTGGTGTAACACATCAAATAATTAAGAGTATTTGAACACGTAGCAATCGGTTTCAAGCGACCTCATGAATGTCATGAGATCACCGTGATTCTCCTCAATATTATTCATCTACGACGTCACTTGTAGATACTTGATTGAAACACTTATTGATCTTCATGTATCGTTATCTGATCAAGAAATTAATGAAGTTGTCATGAAATCTTAGGTTACCTTAGTGTAATTGTTAAATTGTTCACAAAACATATTAAATCATTAAAGCAAATTATAATCGAATTCCGCTTGAGAAAAACTTAGCACAATAATTTATGTTCAAAAACATAACTTATTTTCATTAGTCTCACTTTCATTATTATATTGTTATTTTAAGACGTCTTACTACATAACATAAGTCGCCATAGGATTGCATTAGTTTTCTGTAAAGTGTTTTTTTTTTTTGAATTCACATATCGTCTACAGTTGTTACACATCAACAATCAAGATCAATCAAATGAAAGTTTATTATTCTGATCTCAATATTTTGTAAATCTGTTTATTGTAATGATGTGTGTATTGAGTATAAGAATTCTGTTCACGCCTAATTTACCTCATCACTTATTACAAGCCGAAAATTATTGTTACTTTTATTCACCGCTATATGATTGTGGTATTAAATGCTGATAATTAATACTGAATACTGTCAAGACTTCAAATATTGAAAGTATTATAAAGAACGACCTCACGAATTTCATGAGATCGCTGTGAATTAACAGGAAATGCTGAGTGCCTGAATTATTGCTTATCGGAATGAAAACAGTGTGCATAAGGAGTGACTTCCATCTACTTGCCGACACAACGTCAAAAACTGTACTGGTCACAGATTATGCATTGACGTTGAACACATATGCTAACATAGATATGCCCCCAAATGCCCTGGTATGGCCGAGGATGGGGAGAGTCTACTCTCCATCTCGAAATGCTCCCACATGGACACGCGTATATAGCCTCTATCAGGGCATTTTTACTCACTACATTCCCGTGACGGGCATGTTGTTTATGAAACCGAGAGGATGGAAAGCGAATGTCCGACGCTTTAACCGGGTTTATGGACACGGAAAGGCCACTTAGGGGAGTTGGAAAACCCTGATTCCAAACCAATGGTACAGGAACATCTAGCTAACTAACCGAAAATGCCACGAAAATGGTGTCGAACATTCCAGTGGTAGACACAATTCACTTATTCTACAGTACTTACAGATTGCTTGAATGGAGGTACTAGAACTGGTTTAATTGATTAGAGAAGACATATTTCATCAGTAGTTAGAAGAATAGAAAATGCATCTATCGATTAATAAATTTCATTTTAATGCTAGTGTTATGGTAATCAAGGTGTTATCAATTACTGACGTGAGTGATGTTATTATGTAGCACTGAGAGATATGAGTGACTTGATTTTACATGATTTTCAATTATCGTTTATCTAATGAAAATTATTTGATTTTGGTCTTTTATATAACAGTCTTTGCTTATTCAGTTTGCAGCTTTAAACCTTCTATATTATGTATTTTATCTTGGTGAAGATTTATGGTCGCACTACAGACTGCATAAGTCATTTATAGATCATTTAAACTTCGGTTTGTTTATTTTCATAATCGAGAGAAACAACGTTTTGATATTTATATAGCATATAATTGTGGACTTATTGCTACTAATTTTCGCCACATTCAGTTAGCTTAACAGTATATATTCTTTTAATTCACTACACTTTTTTACTTGAAAACATCGTCTGCGCTCTTGGGTAAGTGATCTTTAGTTGGAACTATAAAAATAATGAAAGTTTCATTTTTTCTCGAACACAGTTCGTATCATTCGCATTTGGTTTTAGACAAGTGATGATTGAATGTTTACTTAAGGAATTAATGAAGAATACTTTGGTAAAAGTATAATATGTTGATTATAGGAGACCATTTATTTGCTAAACAGAATACCGTATGTAGTTATTAAACGATATATAAAAAAATAATGAATTTACAATTGATTACCATTTTTGGCGGGGATTAGGAACTAACAGTTATTTCATGTTTAAGAGTTATGGTTAGGGTTAAGAGGCCGAAGGTTAGGAGAGTTATGGAGGTTAGGTTAGTGTAAAGAATACTTTTTAGGCATACAAATACACTCGACTATGCGTTGAATCATATGAAATACGTTTAACTATTATTTAGCTTTCCAGATACTATCTGCTTCAGGGGCATTTATGATTTTCAGTTTACATATCGTGTTACATTCATTGTGTGGTTGTACCATACAGGTCTGTTTATCAATTTCATGCATCTTAAGGACTAATTATCGGCAATTCTTACTTAGCTTCTAATTAGATACGAATTATCGGCATTTGTATTTGTTTTTTGCGTAAAATTTCTAGAAGCCATATCATAAATTTGATTCGTATGTTAGGGTATCAGACTTTCATCATTATTCTCTATTGATTGTATGGAATTAATAGAACTACATCAACCACTAAATTCTTCACTGGCTTACGTTTTTGAAGCCTGTTGTAGCAAATCCATTAAAAAACGTAAACTAAGTGGCTTCAGCAGTTGTTTACTTTTTGTTTAAAGCTTTCGATTAATAGTTTTAAGGACATGGTTCATCTAATAACACTGACCACTTTCACATACTTAAATATTATTTTTATAGATACTATGATACTTATAAATCACAATTTTAACAATATCCATTCATGATCTCAATCAAAACTTAACAATTTCCACAACTATATACTGATAATTCACAAAGTGGTTAACTTTAATAAAAAAAAACGAAACACTTTAAGTAATATGATCATTATGTCAAAAGGCATTTATAATATTCCATGAATACTCATTATCTGTTGATCAGTTTATGTCACTTTCTGACTGTTTACAGTTATCATTATGAGAAGGGGTTTTGTGGAGATTTAGTATTTGCACAGTTGAAAGCGTGAATCAGTTGAAGACAATTAGTGAACGGTTGCTCAACTTCGTGGATCAGTTGAAGTTGAACATTAATACCGTTGGATGCCGGCTCAGTGGTCTATCGGTTAAGTGCTCTGGCGCGAGACCGGTAGGTCCTGGGTTCGAATCTCACGAGTGCGAGATCGTGGATGCGCACTGGTGAGGAGTTCCATAATGGGACGAAACGGCCGTCCAGTGCTTCCAGGTTTTCCATAGTGATCTAGCTTCAATTGACTCACGCTTTCAACTATGTTTACAATTAATCATGTTAGAATTACAGTTACCATCGAGAATTCTCACTTCGTTAGTGAAATTCCAAAATAAAGTCGTAAAACAACAACAAAGTACTGTAGATAAAAATTATACCCTGTAAGATTTCGTCAATCACTACGGTATGACTAGCAAAAGTTTAATTTACAAAGTATGTTTTACTTTTAGAATTCAACCTTCAAATAAAGAAGATTTAGCGTAGAAAATAAGCGAAATATTCACAGAGAATATGACTAATAAATCGAAGTAACTGCAGTAAATTTTGTTTAATAATAACTGAATAAAGAAACTGATACACGTAAAAATGTGTCTTCTTATCATTTTACTTCATTATTGAAATTCCAAAATAAATTTATTTAAAAAAAAGAAAAAAACTGCACAGTAAAAGGTGTAGTTGTCGTCAGCAGTATCCATTCACATAACTAACAACAATGATTCTCATACCAACACAACAATCATAATTTTATGTTTATTTTATTTATAAGTACACAGGCGCACAAACAAATTCACAAAACACATAACTGTACATTAAGAAAAATTAAAACCCTATATAAGTAGTGTTATATCATTTGATTATATTGAAACGTAGTATACAATTACTGCATAAAACGAGGAAGTCAGAAAGGTATTGATGAACATTATAAATGTATATATTTATATTTAATAATTCAATTCATATAGCTTGAGAACATTGAGCTGAAGGTTAATTAATATCTATTAAAGAAAAAGCAGAAAGCAAAAAAACAATCATGGGGGAAAACCGAAACGTAAAACTTTTCATTCTCTGTGGTTTAGCAATAGCGATCTGCTTTACAGTGGTAGCAATTGCTGAAGACAAAACCCTTACATGTGAGTAATAGATTATTATAAAATGTTTTTAATTTTAATAAATTAAATTGTACTCAGAAAACAGTGACATACTAGCAGTTGCATTGTTTTCACTTAAAGTATTTTGTAAAATCAGACTAGATTTTAAAATTTTTAATGTTTAATTCACAAAATAGATTTCCAACGGCAACCTGTAAGTACTAAAACACAGTTTTGTCCTAAGCTGTAACATGTCGACAGTGTGTATCCACAACTACTCATCCGGGAATCAAACCCACGACCTTCAGTCTCCTGTAAAACATACTAAATAGTTTTATGTAAAGTTGAATTATACCTAATAATGGAATCCAAATAAGAAATAAAGAGTCAATTTCTTGAGTAAGCGTAAATCCTTAAGAGCACTGTTCAAGGTTCAGCAATGGTTAACTATAAACCTCACAAATTAACCAAATAACTGTTTATTCTGTCTCATTGGTTGTTATGTCGATACATAATTTATTCGATTTGCATCATATTGAGGTTCTGTAAAACGTTTATTTTGTATGTATGATAAATAATTCAAATCACTGGATTAACTAAAGCATTGTACTGATTATTTAATTAATGCTATACAAGTTAAAACTAATTGCTTTAATAGTAATTATTATGTATTCGATCAACATACTATTGAATAAGATTACCATTAAGGTGCTTGAACCTTGTTAAGCAGAATATATTCCATTTGTTATGAAGTGAACTAATTTAGAAGCTCACTTTTATCATTAGATGATAACATGTATTTTAAAACTTGAATTTAATTCAAAATTGAAACGGTTTATTGTTACGCATAAACATCAATCCGAGGTTTTAGGCGGTTAGTAACTTTTCCGCTAAAATAACAGAATTCTATTTTAATGTCCTATATGTTTTAATAACTGGTGTGGGGCACAATGAAACGAATATCAGGAATAGGGAAGCATAAATATCATAGGAAACTACTTTATTCAATATTTATAATCTGTAAAAATAATATTTCTCTGGAAAAAAGGACCATCTTTTAGTTTCTATCGGCTAAAAAAATGTGTCAGTGTAACCACCGTCTAGATAGATCAACTTTTAAACTGAATATCTGTAATATTGTGCATAATACCGTTTTTATTAATAATTTGCCAGGTTTATTGATATTGTTGTGTTAAATCATGTTTGTCACTACATTTACACGTTTCATGTTTAAAACTAGTTTGTTAGCTTAAAGTAACGAGTAATTAGTTTCAGATGATGATGATAGGTTCGAAGTTTACAATACATTTTCTCCATGAATGAAGTTTAAGCCTCTTTATAATACTTTCAATATTTGTAAGTCTTGACAGTATTCAGTATTAATTATCAGCATTTAATACCACAATCATATAGCGGTGAATAAAAGTAACAATAATTTTCGGCTTGTAATAAGTGATGAGGTAAATTAGGCGTGAACAGAATTCTTATACTCAATACACACATCATTACAATAAACAGATTTACAAAATATTGAGATCAGAATAATAAACTTTCATTTGATTGATCTTGATTGTTGATGTGTAACAACTGTAGACGATATGTGAATTCAAAAAAAAAAAACACTTTACAGAAAACTAATGCAATCCTATGGCGACTTATGTTATGTAGTAAGACGTCTTAAAATAACAATATAATAATGAAAGTGAGACTAATGAAAATAAGTTATGTTTTTGAACATAAATTATTGTGCTAAGTTTTTCTCAAGCGGAATTCGATTATAATTTGCTTTAATGATTTAATATGTTTTGTGAACAATTTAACAATTACACTAAGGTAACCTAAGATTTCATGACAACTTCATTAATTTCTTGATCAGATAACGATACATGAAGATCAATAAGTGTTTCAATCAAGTATCTACAAGTGACGTCGTAGATGAATAATATTGAGGAGAATCACGGTGATCTCATGACATTCATGAGGTCGCTTGAAACCGATTGCTACGTGTTCAAATACTCTTAATTATTTGATGTGTTACACCACAAGGAAACACGTGTTTCAATCAAGTATCTACAAGTGACGTCGTAGATGAATGATATTGAGGAGAATCAGGGTTGTTTTGGTAAGCGAGTAATGTGTCTGGAAAATACTGGAAATACATCACGATTCAAATTTCACACTCTAGTTAATATCACTTGTAATTATCGATGGTGATAAAATGGGAGTGTCGTATGGATTATGGACTTATGTGTTTTGAACATACTGGAGCAGAGTGATTCGAGTATTGTATTTCCATATTGCTTATAACAACCAACAGTATAATATTGACCATTTGTTCATACTGATTATTGGTGTGCCACAACTTTAAACGATCTGTGAATTCGTTGAGGTGAACAGTTTCCAGAGTAACAGTACACCAGTATGATGACTTTGTATGTAATGCACAGTAAGGCAATCAACCAATAATGATGTGAATGAAACGATTGAGAGCAAACTGTGTGTTCAGTCATCCAACAATGCTCCCTAAATTTTGATGTGGTGACCGACCACAAATTAGTTTAATTTCTTCAAATGTTTCGTGCACAATTTCATCATTCTTCTTGATGCAAATGGTTTGTCATGCTGGTGAGAATTGTACTTTTATAGGTAATGGGAATGGCTCTGTTGATTGCTGAGAGTAATGTAATTGATGCGATTGACGATTAAATGGAGCATTAATAACCGATACACGTGAATACGTGTCAGTATTATCAATAACAATGTTAACATATCACTTCTGATTAATGACGTCAGTAATCACACCTTTATAATATGATAAACTTAGTCATTCTCAGCGGTTGTTTTCTTTGTTATTCAATTAATCAAATGCACGTGAATAGGACTCTTTACTAGTGAGCTTTATGTTTGTGTAATTGTGAAACACATTGTATGGGTGAAGATTCACTTTTCTTGATTATATACGATCGCATGCCAAAACTGAATAACGATTGAATGTGTGTGTATGTCGGATATTATTGCATTTGTGTATATTTCCCTACTGAAATAACGTCACTGTGCAATGCAACTTCATTTCAAAATGGATAAATAAAGTCTAATATAAGATTATGTTACTTGTAATTCTTACATTTGAGTACATGAAATAAAACCTTTCATAATTTACACTACACTTTAGTATCAATTAGACAATCAGTGATGGTCCACCAGGGTGTTTGGTACCTGAGTGGTTGCGCCACAGGATTGGGCCGAACTGTTCGGATTGTAACGTTGAAGCCTTTATAGTGTCTGGTTCTCCTGTAGTGCGGGACTGAGCTGTACTGCTTGGGCTAAGCCTGGGTAGTGTCTGGCTCTCTTATACAGCGGGATTGAGCTGTACTGTTTGGGTTGCCTCGTGAAAGTCTGGATGGTATCTGGTTCACCTGAAAACCAGTGGAAGATTACCCTCGCCCACAAGGGTATATTATATAACTGTGTGAATAATATAAGACAATCAGTGAGAATTAAAACGCCTTAGATGGATGGATGTTGCGTGCGTGTATGAAACTTTTCAGCAGTACTTAATCACGACCTCACAGGGATCGATCCCATGAAGTTGAAACCCTGTTACGAATTCTGGACCTCTAGAACAATCACATATTTCACTACCAACTTTCACCACACAGTGTGTAAACTTTCTCACATCTGAAACTACAGTGCAACACCGAATTCATGTCATTGATACTCGAATTCACATTTCACTCATACGACAAATGTTCCTCCTATTCATTTTGTTTATATTAGGTCATTTGCACAATACTGTATTCACATATGTGTTGCACATTCATTTCATCTGTTCACCTTTCATGATCGATCGCACGACTATGTAGGTGACTTGGAAATATACTTGTGAGAGGAGTAGCGTGACTACATCTGACAAACTGTTCCAGTATTGAACTGTTGACTGTATTCAACTCACTTTTCTAAAGCCTTTCAGAATGATGCAATTAGATGTGTTTAGAAAGTATTTACTCTGTGTGTGAGGATCGATATAAGTTGAATCAAATATGAAAGTAAGCTTGTGGATGGAAACCGATATGCCACAGATTAACACAGCGACGCATCAACAATAAGGTGTAGAAGACAATACGAAACTCAGCAGAATGAAACGTTTTCTCAACGATTTCAACAGTCACATTTTCAAAGACTTTCTATACAGTATCCATCCTACATTCAATATTAGTCGGAATGAGTTTCCTTTGGAAATGTTGGGCATCTTTCACGCCGTAGCTTCCTTCCCAGCTTCTACCAATAAACCTGGAATGAAATTCGTCTCTCTTGAACATACTGCACAACTTAACTTGTTCTTCATTTATCATATCAGTAGTACACATTCTTCTCATCTAATATAGAGAGTAAATAAAGGTTCTCTTTCTCATCAATAAAACTCAAGTTTGGTACTTGTATAATAACCATTGCAATCAGGTGATAAACATGTTTACATGAAACCATTTGTTCTTCCTTATGTTAGAGCATCAAGGAAATGAAATTCCAATCTCTCCTTTGATAACAGTGTGTATAAATGTGATCTGAAACAACTACCAAACACTAACTGGAATGTCACTGACGTTGGTGTTTTCTGCAAAGTTAACGATATGATGAGCTAACTAATCTCAAATTCAGTATCATTATTCGTCATTTTTTGAAGGTGCTGGAAACAAAAATATTTTCCATTATCTTCTTATTTTCTGTTAGTTTGTTGAATTCAAACAAATTTCCGAGTAATAATCAAACAGCTCCCCCTTATCACTGAATAATAACGAATTACTAAAGTCACAGATCACGGTTATTAATAAACTGAGGTGATTTCAACGAACAACATTTTGTTTTCAACTAAACTGCTTGCTTATGTTGTGCGATCGTGTTAATGAATGTTTGGCAAACATATATGTGTGTAAGAGAATGGATGGAGTTCATATTACTAAGTGTTCTGATATTTCAAGTATTCAAAGAAGTTCGCTTATTTCTGACCGGTAAACCATTTTTATCCTCCTATTCTTCCCCGATCTCTATATCACTATGCAACGTCCAATTAATACTTGAGATCTCAGAACACTTCACAATATAAACTCTTGCTATCATTCTGTACACAAACATGATTTTAAGATAACCATGAATGGGATTGTATAACTTGAATAAATGATTTATTTGGGAAGAACACTTTCTTTCCAGAATTTCCTCTGTTCTGTTGGATTTATTCGAATATATCTTAGTTTGAAATACACTAGATATCTTTGATTGCTTAACTCCACAATGTATGTACTATTTATTCATGTTGACATTCAGTTTGGTTTTTATTGAATTAATTAATTGATAAACCGTTTCTTTTAACTTCTCGTCAGTGTACTGTTTCTACATTTTTACAGTACACTTAAAGATGCTCGTTTTTTTTTCATTTACTGTTAAAAGACGATTATAAATCAAATTCGCTGAAAGCCTTTCAAGCATTCTATTTCCTCGCTCTCATCGCTTTCATTGTGGCGCTCGTACTATATTTAGTAACTGTTTTCACAACATCTCGAAGAATCCTGAGCATTGGATTTTTTGTCGCGGTTGTAGTAGGATGTAAGTAATTTTTACAGTCATTTTAATAACAGTCTACAATTGTATTGTAACGATAACATGTCTTTCAAGACGATTGTGTTGTTTGTGGATTGATGATAGGTTTTCATTATTGCATTTACTTTGTTTGCCTAGTTACCGGTTCTACTCATTCGACAGATAATTATATGAATGTTGTATTTCAATAACATCGGTGAAGTATTGGTGAGGATTACAACATTCTGACTAGTTCCTTTAGAATAATACAATTGTAGCAAGTGAAAATTTTTACAGTATGATTATAGGGACTAGTTGATCGGTTGCGACTACTATGACTGACAGAAAAGTAAATAAAAAACTCAATTTACAAACCAATTGATCAAACAAATGAGTTTGTTCTTATCAGAAATGGATGGTGACTAGCAGCGAAATCCAGGATGCACATTTCATACTATTTGGGTTTGGTCAGTTGAATGTTACGGCAGTCGAATTCATGATTACTTCTAAACTCGAAGCATGTAACTTAGAGTTCAATCGCGATCACGTTAGTCACTCAGCTGATGAGTTCCGGATTCCACTGCTAGCCATATCCATCTCTGCTTAAACTACTTGTGACATACTGGCAATATCGAGACAATGCACATATGCTGAAAGAGACTGATCAATTGCAGTCTTAAACCTCAACGACAACATCCAAACAACCTATATACATGAGTCAAAAATGTTTTTCATTCAAAATTTAGAACCGAACCATATTGTTAAACGGAGTTCTGGAATTTCCACAATTCAAACCATCATTCTTCAATGTTATATATTTTAATGACCATACCTTTGTAGTTGTCGTTAGTCATACTGGGCATTTATAAGAATTGTCTACTAGGTCATCACAATCAATTGAATATTTACCACAGGAATCATTTCTTCACAAGACGAAATTACTCCTTTTGAGATAACAGGTGCGAAAATCCCTCATCACTGTATCACTTTTATTCACCACCGCATAATTTCATACGAAACTGGGAAACTCACTAAAATTCAGTCTATAATAAAAGAGACGAATCAACCAAATTCTTAAGATTATCTGCGAATTCAATGTCAATTTCAAGTTTGATAATATTCTCATTGTTTGTGGAGTACAAGAAAATTAGAGTATAAATGATGCATAATGAGGACTTATAACAAACGCTTTACGAAAGATAACGATGAATCCACTAGTCTTTTAACATATCAACAGTTTCTCTCTTTATCTGATACTATCACTCATGATCATTTAGATATTTTCTGAAAAGTACAACTCAATGGAAATAGAACGCTTGTTACACTTTGTAGTGATTATCGAGAATTATAAACTAATTAACTTCTTAACGATAAATTGTTGTATTATTCTGATGCCTGTTTAGGTGTATGCTGTATTATCAGTGTCATTATATATTATCAACACATGTCCAATAGTTACAATAGGAATTTTCGGCCAGATTCCACCTCATGGTTACTTGCCGTTATTGTGTCTTCAGCCCAGCTCATTTTGTTCGTATGCTTGTATATTCTCTATTGAGAAGTGTTTGGTTTTCATCACAGTTACATGTCATGAAAGTTGTGAAGATGGAATATTATTGACGTAGTATAAAACTTGATTGAAAGAACACATTTGATAAAGCTCCATAATTTTACACAATTTCATTTTGATAAATCACGAGTTTCACGAATGATGTAAACAAAATTATTTCATGAATGTCATTAGACAATGTTTTTGAAGAAAATCAGTTTATTTATTTCTAGTTTTACTTTGATTAAATTTATGAGATCGGTTGTAACAGACTGAGGAGTTACCTAAAAATTTGATGTTGAGCAACCAACCATTCACTAAAAATAACTCAACAAAAGGTGAATATCGAATCGCAAAAATAAACCTGTATAGAAAAACGTAACAGGAATATTTCACAAGAAACAATCGAAGAATAAGTGTCCTATGAGAAGTTAGTTTATCTTACTTCAATGTGTTTGCGTGTCCACCATAAAAATGTTGTTTAACGGATTTGGCATCATAAGAATAGTGCAGTTCTCTCAGAAAGAGGGAAATAGATTCTCCATAAATGATAAATCATTACCGGAGAATTTTATTGTACAAGGATGAAAGACATTAAGAATTCGGTATCTTAATTAGAGGCAATCCTGTGTTCCTTATCAGTATTCACTCAACAGCGACACATACATTTGTCTACTACACTTCAAGTAGTTTAAATCTTCCACAAATAAACTAAATGCAAACTCATTTACATAACACTATATTTGATGATCTATTCTGTGGCATATTAGTTGAATGAAGGTTGAATCAAGCTGTGGATGAGAATGAATTCCAAGTGAAATTCGTACTTGATTCACACAGTGTTACCGGTAATAACAGCTTGAGCATTAAAATCTTAGCAGAGTATTGAACGTCATTAGTTGATCAGTTCCTCTACATAAATTTATCCTAATTTCACCGATGTCTATGTTTCATAACATTATCTCAAAGTAAATGAGATCTGTGACTGACATCACATTAACTGAGGGCAAGCAGTCGAAAAATGTGTTCGGATAGAAACACATTGATAAGTTATCGTCTGAGGTTGATGTGTCAAATTATGTTCAGAAGGGATATTCATTGAAAAAATGTTATCGGATTTAGTACAGAAGTGTTTAAGAAGTGATGGGTATCAAATCCCACTTATTATGATTTCATTCTTATTCTCTTTGAAGATCTATCAACCAACTTTGAGTAAAGTGATTGTTTCGCTCTATCAAATGACGTTGAAGAGATTCAAAATAATTAAGCTGAAAATAATAGTGTTTAGGAATCTATGAACAGATAGTTTCACAGCAGTTGGGAGCCGAGTTATTTCAAGACATGAAGGAGGAAAAGTCAGTTGAATACTTGAGACTTTTACAAAAATGATGGTCACTCCTTACCGTTCAAGAATCGTTTCAAAATAACAGATTGATAATATCGCTACTAATTTGGTTGATGCATGTATTTAACAATCACGAATTAGTTAAGCACTTTATTTGTGTACTCAGTTGAACCTTCTCGGTGAAGTTGGTGTAACACAAGAAATAGGTGAGTACATTACAAATATCTGGTCACGAAAACCTTCGATACATCGTGACTGTTTTCAGACAACTGAGTGTGTAATGTTAAGACTAGAAGTAGGATACCAAATAGGAGAGAAGTCACTCGAAGAGAGATTGGGAACCTCCACAGATTATGATGTGTGAGGAACATGTACCTTACACTTAGCTATTGTCTGCCTCAATGCACCATGTTCATTACAAGAAGAGAAATGTGGGGAAAATTTATAGTAGTCAGAATAAGACAAAGTGCCAGTCTAAATCATCTGACCATTAGGATACGTAACATGGGTGATGGTAGGCCTTCTCGTCAGTGAAATAATGTATTGATAACTTTGACCATTCAAAATATGTTGAGATGTGTTACAATACAATGGTATATTTAGAGGGAGGTTTTGCAGAATTGATTGCAAATTAGTAATGCATATTAGTGTTTTAAAAGGAGTAGTTTTGCGACGAAATAGACAAATTGATGCAAAATGAAAACGGAAGGTCATGTTTAGACTGTTTGAATGTTGTGAAAAGTTGATGTATCAGTGGCATCAAGAGGTTTATTAGAGCCATGGTCTAGTTTCTAAATGACAGACTACTTAAAACACTTAAAGATGATGAGAACACAAAGAAACTCAAGGCTGATTATGTTTTCCTAAAACATAGCTATTAAACACTGAAAATGTAAATTGCATATCGAACACAAAGTAGTTATCAGTTGCTCTTTATTCTGATAATAATGATTTTCAACATTCTTGTGACTTTTCTCCAGTAAGAGATGGATGGATATTCGATTATACTCTAAGCTCTTAAATACTTTGTTTCTTCATTAATATCAATCCACATATATTTATTTTAGGTTATATCACTTTTTATTGCTACACAAATCGACTCTCCAGTTTTATCCTCTGTGATGTTTATTTTAAGGCCTAAATACATAAACTGATAATAGCAGGAAGTTGATTAAAAATCAAAGAGCATTAGAAGCTTTTCGCTTTAGGTCAAGGAAGCTTGTTGGTAACCGGGTATGCCCAGCACATGAGCTCACACGAAGACGTTACAAGCCCTGTGGCGAGAACAATACCACTGAACTATCAACTTAGATTTTAACATGCCTCAACCCCTACTTAGATAGATTTCCAATATAACGCCATTCTCAATCAATGTCAACTGAATGGTCGGTTCACGATCTCTAAAAAACACCTTATATTTTATAGCTGTCATGTGCTTACTAGTGAAAGGAAATTTTCGGAGTTCAGGTTGACAGCCGTAACCAGTATATTTTAATTGAATCGAGTGTGAAGCAGTTCTCCAGTGAAGATGATGAACGATGGTTACAGTTTCGTGGATTGACTGACGTTGGTTATGGAAACCATTAGAGGCTGGTTTAGTGATCTAAAGGCAAGTTGCGAGAGTTCTCACTTGGATATCTGGCGAAGTCGTGGATTCACACTGCTGAGGAGTCAAATAGTAAGACGAAACACCTGTCCAACACCTCTTTGTTTTTAATCGTTAAATAACTTAGTTCTGTTCATGATCTCAGTGTCAACTAAACTGAGAGTGAGACATAGGAAAAATAACGATATTCATTCAATAATTTGATAATTATATGCAGACATAACATAATCTTACCGTACAAAGCTGGTGTGTACTGACTGTCTTCACTTCCACCTACCCAGCTTTTCGTTCTCTTACTTTACAATATGGTTATTTCCCTATCATATCTGTTGATATGAAGAAACAGCACAAATGAAAACAAAGTTGGTCAAGATATATTACTGATTTTTTACTAATTAAACTATCGAGAATTCGAGTATGTACATTATTTCATATCAACAAGTAACTCTTATCACACGACGTATAATAAATGCTATCTCATCGTTTAGTCTACCCATTGACTTGTTCATTCACTCTTCTCTTCATCATGTATGTTCTTCTCTAACTTATCAAACTGTTCTTTAGATACTGCATCTAATTCATCTTCAACTTGTTCAACGCCTAATACATCTGGTATATAAAACTGAAGCATATTCTGTACACCATTTTTCAAAGTAACTACGGAACTAGGACAACTTGAGCAAGATCCTTGTAGTTTTAATCGCACTATACCATCTTTAAAATCCTGAAAAACAAATGATACAGTTTAGGGATTTTATAGAAAAAATAGATAAATACAAAGACACCTATCATAAGGTAAGTGGATCTCCTAATGTGACCATTTCAAATCGAATGAGGAGCCCTCTTACACTTTACATATTTCCCTGATACACCTTATAGTGACAAGGATTACCAATGAACCCACCGACCCCCGAACTCGAGTCATAACTTTAAGTAGCAGAATATGATTAAAGTCTGTGGTCAATATATATTTCCGCGTTCTAAAACGTAAGAAGACTAAAAGTTTGTACAACACATGAACAACCAAGTCTAAGCCTGGTTTGGTTTTTTTGAATTTGCAGTGTTCCTTGCTCTATTTAGACCTCGAATAATTATAAAGGCTAATATTACAGTCACACTCATCCCTCTGTAGTTATCACTAGAGGAATTTAATAATTTTTATAGTTTGGAACGACCAGAGGTCAAAACCAGTTTGGTGGGATCACGTTCAGATACTAGATTTTAGCTATTATTTTAGCCAACATAAGTGGTATAATTGCAGCACCATACTCAAATAACTCTGGGAAAATACAACCCGAGCATCCTTGGGTTATTAATCAAGATGCTTAGAAGACGTAATAACTTAGGTGTCATACCATACAGAACCATGCCACCTGTATAGTTTTAGTCGGTAAGTGAATTTACTGGTAGATCAGACTAACAAAGCATTTTCAACCCATGAAGTCAGTGAGTGGTGTAACGAACTTGGTATTGTATAGAATTATGTTCAGTGTTATGAGTATATCATTAGAAATTTGGTTGCCAGTTTAAAGAAGTGGACCGACTTCTTGGGCTTTCTTCATCGTCATTCAAAAAAATGAAATAATTTGAAATACGGTGAAAGTATTGCACATACAGTTCACACTAAATGGAATATTATTCATGTCACATAGGTAAACAAATACCAAGCTATTTATTGTCTAGACAAAAGTCAAAGAATACGACACTACATGAACATCTAAAATATGAGATTACCTTAAAAATAATATCACCGCCGTCTTCTTGGACAGTAGGTCTTATTCGGGCATCCAATAGTTCTTTTATCATTAATACCGTTTCATCTTCTTCATCATCGGCTTTATCTAAAATTGCAAAGTTAACATTCTAAACAACTACAAAACATGAGTAAAGTTATAGCGAACTGAAATTCGGGTTTATTTTTATAACAGAAACTGTATTTAAAATGACCGTCCTACGGTCATACGCACTAAGATATTAGTAACATGTAGTTTCTTAGGTCTGAAAAATGAGTAATATTTGTCAACGTCAAGGACGTCATAGTTTATAAATTTTCGGAAACTACTATTTTAGCATTCGGAAGTATAGACAAAGAGAAGAGTTGAAAGTTTACACATATTTAGCTCACAATATTACCTTCTGCTGGAAATGATATGATAATAGATTCCATAGATTACCGATTATTTGATAGTAACGAACCTGACTAGTGTACGAAATTTAAATAGGAAGTATTTGTAATATTAACTGATTGATTTTCTTTGGGGATTTTAGCTACTGAACACACACCTTTGAAAAGTTCTTCATAATACAGAGTATATAAATAGTAATTAACCTCCTAAAACGTATGCCGCCGACTAAGAGTACATGGACGACTGGGCAAAAGCTTTTCTCCAATCAACAGAAAAAAGAGCTGATGCAAAACTGAGATGCCAGGTGGCAGGTATAGTAGAATAAATTCGCGTAACACCACTCCGAAAATTATAGGTTTCAAGAACATTCAGTAGCTGTATAGAGCTCGTCAGTTTAAAGAAGTAAAGCAGTAAGTTCAGAGTTTCGTCAGATTTTTTACCTAAATCGTTATCATGAAACAAAATTTCGAATAAACAATTAATTATATCTATATTTATTGGTAGTGAAAAAAAATAATTACACTGTCTCGAGGAAACGCTTTGAGTAATTGACTGGTTATAAAAAAAGTGGAACACTGAGAGCTTCTTCATTCGAAATTAGATAGATACGAAAGGGTTAAATAGACATTGTCATCTAATCTGACGAAAGGAAACAGTGTACACATGTTTTTATTTATTCATTTATTTGAACACATAAATATTGGTACAAGGAAGCACCAGATACATATGCGCCTAACAAATCTCATTCGATTTGCGTGAGGGCTGTGATACTACCCAGGTGCCCAGACTGAAGCAGGTGGTTTCCTTAGGGGACCACACCCGGAGTCTTTGACCTGAAGGTCTAGTCCACAAGGCAGTGGAGCATCGTGAAGAGATGCAGTCCCATGGTAGCCCGTCACCAACGATTGATTCATACGCCATTTGTTCCCTCAGGATACTGGAGCTCATGTGCACCATTGGTTTGGAATCAAGGTTTTCCAACTTCCCTCGGTGGACTTTCCGTGTTCACCAAGCCGGTCAAAGCACTGGACATCCGCTTTTCGTTCTCTCAATTTCGTAAACAACACGCCTTTTATTTCACAGTTTTGAACAAACACACAGAAGCAACCATCGGATGATAGTAAAAGTAATTATTAATGAACATTTAGGATTGTTAAAATAATTGATGTCGTTAACCGTAAACCAGTTGAATGCATACTGACGAGTAAGAGCCTGCTTCGGTTTGGGCACCCGGACAGTATCACAGCCTACACACAAATAAATGAAATGATGAATTCTATTGACGATACTATTCTTGCTCATACTAGAAGCAAGACAATTTACATTATTATTATTATTATTATTACCATTATTATTATTATTATTATTATTATTATTATTATTATTATTATTATTATTATTATTAATATTATTATTATTATTATTATTATTATTATTATTATTATTATTATTTACCATATCGCTAACTCACCCCCTTTTATCCCCAATTTGTGTAACCTTACTTTTCAACTTATGCAGCAGCTCGCCCATGGTGGAAAATCTGTCCTATCTAAACGATCTCCAGTCACTGTCTGGTTGAAAGTGAATGCTTCCACCGATAATGAATACTGAAGCAGTCTTTCTGAAACCACGTACGCCCTTCAAGCTGGCTTCCCTTAAACGTTCGCACACTAATGCATATCAGACAACAGATAGGGCTGGCTACGTCTTTGGAAGGTCTTAATGTTGATGTTTGTTGTCTATCCGAGACCCGTATTCAAGACTCTAGTGAAGTACTACAAATCCGCTCTCCATCTGTCGCCTCGAAAAGCTTGTTCCACGTGCGCTTATCCGGGGACCCTGTGGCATCTTCGTCTGGTCTTGCCGGCGTTGGTGTCGCACTAAGCGCTAGGGCTGAGGCAGCACTAATCGATTGGATCCCCATTAACAGTCGGTTATGTGCTGTTAGATTAGAAAATTCCATCAAAGTAAGAGGAAATCGGCGTGAAAAACGATGTCTATTCGTCATCTCCTCCTATACCCCGACAGATTGCAGCCCGGATGTAATCAAGGACGAATTCTATCACCAGTTAACTGTTTTCCAGAAATTGCATTCGACAGGTGTTGCAGTACTAGCCAGAGACTTGAATGCACAGGTCGGGCGTCTAGGCACAGAAGAGAGTCGTTTAGGTGGCCGATGGGGACTTGTTGGTCGCAGGACAGATAACGGGGACCGTTTGATGCAACTGTGCACAGACCACAACCTGTTTCTGGCCAGCACTAACTTCCGGCACAGTCATCGCCGGTGTGCCACCTGGCGTCCTCCCTCTGCATCCCAAGCCTGGACTCAGATTGATCACATCGCGATCAGCTACCGCTGGCGTGGTTGTGTACAAGACTGCCGCTCCTTTTGGAGTACCTATCTGGAGTCTGATCATGCCCTGGTCTGCGCCAATCTCACCTTACTTTTCAGTGGCCGAAGGATTGACCACCACCAACGGATTGATGTTAGTAAACTGGCTGCAACTTCTGTTGCAAGTAAGTATCGAGCGGAGCTAGCCTCTAGGCTAGCTACCACCCCACCGAAAAGTATAGATGAGCATTGGTTGCTTCTTTACGACGCCATGAAAATGGCGAGTAAAGCCGCTTGCGGCTTCGCGAAACGTCCCGCTTACAAGCACTGGGTTTCTTCTGGCTCCTTACAACTGATGGAAGCCCGTCGGTCTACTCCGGGTGACCGTGAGTTTGACTATAAACGAAGGCTGTTACGTAATGAAATCGGGCAAAGCTTGCGTAAGGACCGGGAAGTCTGTTGGTCGGAGCGTGCTAATGAGATGGAAGCAGCAGCTGCATCTGGTAACTGCCGGAAGCTCTTCCAACTCATCCGAGCCACTGGCAGCAAGACGTCTGGTGTGAGTGAAACAATCTACGAGGATGATGGGATGCCAATCACTGACATCTCTCGACGTCTTGGACGATGGGCGGAATTCTTCGAAGGGCAGTTCAACTGGCCTGCTGCTCCGGCAACATCAACCAGTTTGTCCTGCGCCCCATGGCCGGTGACGACTGATCCACCAAACGAGGCGGAAGTCCGCAAGGAACTCCAACTCTTGAAACACTACAAATCACCGGGCCCAGATGACTTACCTCCGACTCTTTTTAAAGATGGTGGTGATCTTCTGACTAAGGAATTGACTGTGTTGTTTGGAAAGGTTTGGGAACAAGAAAGTGTTCCAACATCGTGGAATGAGTCGATAGTCGTCCCTATCTTTAAAAAGGGTTCACGTTGTTCCTGCAATAACTATCGGGGGATAAGTCTACTTTCGATTGCGTCCAAACTATTGGCTTCTATCATTCTTCGTAGGTTGTTTAAAACCCGAGAACGATTGACTCGCGAGGAGCAGGCTGGTTTTCGTTCTGGTCGAGGATGCATTGATCACATCTTCACCCTCCGCCAAATGTTAGAACACCGTCATACTAATCGCAGGTCAACAATCGTAGTGTTTCTTGATATCAGGGCGGCCTTCGATTCGTTGGACAGGACTGTTCTCTGGGATTGTCTATTGAGGAAGGGTGTGCCTGAGAAGTTCATTAACATCTTAAAGGCCCTGTACACGAACACCTCAGGCAGAGTGAGGGCATACAACCACCTTTCTCCCTTGTTCCATTCGAGCAGTGGGGTTAGGCAGGGTTGCCCGATCTCACCATTCCTCTTCAACTTTGCCATCGACGACATCCTGGAAACAGCTCTGATGGATGTAAGTAATGGCGGTGTGGATATGTTGCCTGGAGAACGACTTCTCGACCTTGAGTATGCGGATGATATTGTCTTACTGTGCGATAATGCTCAAGCCATGCAATCTGCACTTAATCAGTTGGCAATCAGTGTCCGCAGGTACGGCATGTGCATTGCACCCTCCAAGTGCAAAGTACTCCTACAAGACTGGCAGGATTCTCATTCTGTACTCACCCTGGATGGTGAGCAGATTGAAGTAGTTGAGAAGTTCGTGTATCTAGGTAGCTATATAAGTGCTGGTGGTGGCGTGAGTGATGAGATTGATGCACGTATAATGAAAGCCAGAGTGGCTTATGCCAATCTGGGCCATCTTTGGAGCCTTCGTGATGTTAGTCTGGCTGTAAAAGGTCGGATCTACAGCGCGTCGGTGAGAGCAGTTTTACTCTATGCTTGTGAAACCTGGCCTATCCGAGTTGAGGATGTTAGACGTCTCTCCGAAGGATTGCTGACATTCAGTGGCAACACCATGTTAGTAATGCAGAGGTTCGGCATTGTGTGTTCGGGCGCAGAGACGATAATTCAATTGGTGTCACCATCTTGAAACACCGACTTCGGTGGCTTGGACATGTTTTACGAATGTCGTCCCAGAGACTTCCACGTCGTGCACTATTTGCCGACCCTGGGACTGGTTGGAAAAAGCGGAGAGGAGGTCAGTGTATGACATGGTGTCGTGGCATGAAAGAAAGCTGCAAAGGGCTAGCTTCTGTTGGTCCTTCACGACTCCCTGGCTGGGGTCCTGCTGCAACCTTCTTTTACTTTCTACATAAAGAATGGTTCTAACTTTCTTAACTGAAAGAGTCTTCTGGTTGTACATTTCAGTCTGCCTTATCTTTTCATCCCTTCTCTTCCTACTTTCATTACTTTATGTGGCGCATATGTACCTGGTGCCCTTTTGTACCAATATATATGTGTTTAGATAAATCAATAAGAGCCACATGGAACTCCGAACTCCTGATAATTAACACATGTTAGACCGTTGAAAGTACGACAAACTAAAAGGTACTACTTAACGTTCGAAGTATTTTAAAATCTAAGCATCAACAAAAATGACAATCAAATTACGACATATCGCAGTATCTTACTTAAGTCTTGTGCCTTTTCTTCACTGACAACAGGTTGTCCAGAACTGTAGAAATCCATTATAGTTGCATATACATCAGGTTTTATTACAGCCCATTCGAAGTCGTCATTCTACCACTTGTCAGATTGGAAAAATTATAAACCGACCTTAGTAATTGTGATGAAATCAGGACCAAAGAAGACTCGTTCAACCCCTTCGATTCGAAATAACTGTCTAAAGTTCTCAATAATTTAAAATAATTCTTACCTAGCCAACGGGGAAGACGTGGATTGTGTGCAAGATGGAAAATCTCTAGTGCCAGAACCTAGTACAGGCTTACCAGGAAAATATTTTAAGCTGTTAGGATTAGGAGTTTCTTGGACCTGAATAAATAATTTTCTAATTCCTGATAAAAAAGTTACAAGGTTGAATCAAGAAACCTACTGGATTGAAATGATATCGACTGGGTGTTGAGTAACCGACGAAAACTGTTGACAACGAGCATGTTTTTTCTAAAGCTTTAGTTATAAGTTAACAGCAATCAATGTAGAAAACATTGACGATGAAAACAATCGGATAAGTAATAAAATATATAAAAGATAAAAACAACTGTGCGAAAACTCCTTCAAAACATTTTGTATTAATTTACTGAAATATGTCAGTAAATAGAAGTCCCTTGTGAAACATCTTCCAGAAATAAAAGTTTTCTGGCATAAAAGAACTTCAGATTTAATCTCTAACTAGATTAGTAGGTATTGCAAATCTGAGTGTCCAGTTCAAACGTACTGGAAACGTATATATATACAACATACTAAACGGTTAGAAGTGTGTGTAAGTCAAAACAATTCCATCTGTGCGTGTCAGAGATTTCAGCCGGTTTCAACCGTCAGATTGCTAACTACGTTTGGGGTCAGGTATTTGACATTTTCGAGGAGCGTATCTTACAAAGTACATGTCTTAAGACCTACCAGGATGTGTAAGTCGAGTAGTTACATGATTTGTCTAGGAAACTATAAAGGTCGACTTAGCTAAAAATTAGTTTGTCACACTTGACGGAAGGGTGAAAACAGTAGTGAAAAGATACTGAAATAAATGAGAAAGTAATTCAATTGCAAAAAACTTAAAACAATAGTGTTTTAACTCGCTTATCTATCTAATAAGTAAGATCCTACTTTTCTTATTTAACGTCAATGTACCAGCACTATTTGACACGTGAATTCTGTCTGCCTAAAGAAAGAAACTGATAAATGTTAATAGATCGAGGTGTTCAACACCATAAATATAATAGGTTATATGATTTACTTCAACATTATAGACTACAAACACAAAATCGATTATTTAGAGAGTTCTATTTCTGCACTCCATTTTCAACCCAGCTCACAATAGGCGAATAATCATCTAGAAAAATGCAAAATCGTTTCCAGGCCTATCAACTAGTTTTAAGAGGTTAAAATACTTTATTTCGGTTTCTTAAGGGGCTCTAGTTAGCAAAAGAATGAAAGGGAATTAGGAAGTAAATCATTTCTGAACATATTTGGCAAAATAAAACGAACGTAACTGTGTACTTCATATCAGAGTTGTATTGAGAGCTCAAACGTAAACACCGACATTTTAATAACAAGCGTCTCTTAGAGAACTAAATCCTCCACTAAACAGCAATCAAATTTGGGTAGTATTATCAAAAAAATCCAGCAGTTGGCACGCTTGTTATTTGGAAAAAGTACTACAGGTAAGCTTGAATCACCTGTTGGTAATAATGTCAATCTACCGGCAAATTGGGAAATGTTACTTATCTCTAAACTACCGTATCTTCTGTTCATGATTCTTTGCAACCAGAAAACTTCATAGTAGTAAGTTAACCAAAACGCAGTATTCACCCTGTTTTCTACTGCCTTATTTCTGACTTTGGCTGTTTGAAATGATTGAACCTTTATGTGAGATTGTCATGTAAGTACTAAAACGGTCCTTATGAATACGAAGAGAGCTTCCCAGTAAATAAATTAATGTGCCGATATGTAACATTTTCATTCATTTTTGTAAGCACAAATATTGGTAAAAAGGGGTACCAGATACATATACGACACACAGATCACTTGATTTGCGAATGGGCTGTGATATGTCCCGGGTAACCAGACTGAAGTAGGTGGTTTTCTTTAGGGGACCGACCCGGAGCCTTTAACCTAAAGATCTAGTCCACAAGGCAGTGGAGCATCATAAGAAGATGCAGTCTCATGGCAGTCTGTGGCCAACTATAGGTTCATACGCCATTTGTTACTTTAGGATACTGGAGCTCATGTGCACCATTGGTTTGAAATCAAGGTTTCCAACTCTCCAAGCGGATCCTCCATAGTCACCAACCCGATTGAAGCGCCGGACATTCGATTTCCGTCTTCCCAATTTCGTAAACAACACCCCAGCCACGAGAAGACAGAGAATAGAACTTCCAAATCGGTGGCTGTATACGCGTGTCCATGTGAGAGCATTTCGAGGAGAGCTAACTCTTTCCACTCTCGACCGTACCAGGGCATTTGGGGGAGGATTCAGCCCCTAACGTTGCAGGGTTTGACTTACAACGGTGACATATATAACCAGAATATAAATCCCCTGAAAGTAGGATATCCTACGAACAATGTGCAACGCAATTTAATGGGTGCTTATGAAAGCACAAACATTGAAACATAGGGAAATGAACTAAGACGAGATAACTGTTACGTAAAGAGGCATGTTATACTAGTTAAAAAATGATTTCATTAGCTAATTAACAATGATATCAGAAATATTGACATACTACAAAAAATGGACCGAAGTATTGAGTGGTTTGAGACAAGACATTTATACATAATTAGTGTTTAGACAGTTTATTTTTTATCTGAATCATGGTAAACGCCATTATCTAAGATTAATTCGGTGAGACTAGAATTTATGGAAGAACCAATAACGTATAAGACAACAGGTCTCGGATTTTAGCGGGAAATTCACTCATCTATTTGGTTAAGTAGAGTTTTAGCATTACAGCTGGTGTCAGTTCGGGATGGAAACTATAATTCCAACTTCGGCGAGACTAAAGAACATGGACGACCTTTGAACGAATCTTAAATGACCTTGAGAAATATTGGCCAATCAGAAGACAGTTAGCATTTAATAAAAATATATTATACAAAACTCAAAAATTAAAGGGGATACTGTTCTTTTACATGTATCAAAAACTTATCAAGGTAAGATATAGGTTCAGAAGTTTTAAAATCATAGTGCATCCGGCACAGGAACCCATCCATGTGGCTCCATAGTAGTCGACATCTGGAACCACGATAAAGTTCCGAAAATTCTTTCAGCCTCGACCACATAGTTTCAGTGTTGTCGGTATGTTGGTATGGTTTAGGATTAGGGTTACGGTTTAGGGTTAGAGATGAAACCATTAATAATGGACGACATTTGAGCGACGCTAGAGTGAATCTGAGAGTGTCAACGTAATAACTAAGACGAAATGAGGGTTATAAACCCGCGTGAAGAATTCAAATTATGATTTACAGTTTATGGTTAAGGTTATGAATTTTACTTAGGGTTTTCATCACGAACTGACATCAGCTATAATGCCACAACTCAATCTAAATATATAATTGAATTTTGTGCCAAAATCTTATGGTAACATATCTTGTAGACGCTTAATTATCATGTTTTCTCTAAAATCCTTTGTAAACTGACCGTACGTAAGCGTCAGGTACCGAACTTAGCGCTGTGACCTTGAAAACCCGCGAAAGCTTCTGATTGGCTCGTCCATGTTCTTTAGTCTCGCCGGTTTTGTGCCATTTTTGCAAAACTTTTTATAGCGGCTTTTAAAAGATTTCCTGAAAATGGATAGAACTTTCCTCTGAAATTGGGAGATAGAGTAACACTATATTGTTTGAACAATCCTACCACATGACTAAGTAATCCAGCTTTTAAGAAGTAGCTATGTAAAAATGCTCCAATACATAAACACTTTTGACTAACTTGTTTCACTACATAGGTATCTAAATTTGTGTGCATCAAGTATCCTGGTAATATTATCACCAGTGAATTTGAAAGTCCCTTTAAATTTCTGCCCGACTTTGAGAAACAGGATGGTTTATTTTTCTTGGGATTCCAAAATGTCAATGACAACCGAAACTATATTAAAAAACTCAGTTGTTAACCCAATGGAAATCTCAGGGTAACACACACAGTAAACTAGGCGCCACTATTTTAGAATTCCAACAGAAAGATATGGAATTTCCCATGTGATTATGGGATTTTATTGATCTCTAGTGGTGTTTGAATGAACCAATGACTCCTTCATGTTGATGACTGATTTGATTATGCAATCCAAATACAGTACATTCGTTTGTACTCATCTTATACTACTTGATTGAATTACGCTATTGTTGGGATTACTGATTTGCACTATAATTCAAATACTGTTAAATATCACACCCAGTTATCGCTTTAGTACCTTCCGTCAACTGGATATATGACTATATGTTAATGCATTCTATGCAATTACTAATTGGCTCACTTTTCTTTTTACAATAACCGTTCTTCTCAAAGTTGAAACCATGAGTCAATTGAAGCTAGACCACCATGGAAAACCTGGAAGCACTGGATGGCCGTTTTGTCCTAATATGGGACTCCTGAGCAGTGCGCGTCCACGATCTCGCACTCGCGAGATTCGAACCCAGGACCTACCAGTCTCGAGCCAGATCCCCTTAACTTCGCGGATCGGTTGAAGTTAGACATTAACACCGTTGGATGCCGGCTCAGTGGTCTATCGGTTAACGGCTCTGACCCGAGACCGGTAAGTCCTGGGTTCGAATGTCGCGAGTGCGAGATTGTGGACGCGCACTGCTCAGGAGTCCCATAGTAAGACGAAACGGTCGTCTAGTGCTTTCAGGTTTTCCATGGAGGTCTAGCTTCAATTGACTCATGGTTTCAACTTTGAAAATTACTGAAATTTCCACAAAACCCTTTCTGATAATAACCGTTCTAACATTTTCCGCACGACTTCACAGTACAGCATCTATCCTGGGTAAACTCAAGGTGTTGAAAATTTGCATCTATGACAAAGTTTCATATCATACAGCTGGTTTATTTGCTTCCAATTTATTATCAAGACTGAACATAATTTCACGCGAGTTCCATAGCGTTGCAGTTGTTTATATATAAGATATATTATATCTGGAATGAATGCACTTCAGGTGTGATTGATCTTTGAAAAGTTTCAATAATCATTTGGAGTTAGGAATATGACCTATCATGAACATTGTAGCTGTAAATAATTCCCCAAAATCAATAGCTCATTAAGTGTTCGACATTGGATGCTGACCACGTTGTTTAAGTGGACTTGTTTAACTGAAGGCTTTCGGTCATGCATCCGTACCTGATCACGTTGCAACACGGCGTGGGACACAGCTCCTACGTTCATTAGCCAGCTTATAGTAAAGGTTCCTCGATATATTGGTAACGTATCAAATATATCTTTCCTACCTCTCCTCGTCTGACTTCTGGTTTTAACTAATTGGGGGACGATCCGAATATAGAGGGTTGAAGATACGATAAGTATTCTGATTTTACAACCTGCCACCAGTAACACCTATATGCGAAGCTTTTCCCCGACCAATGGAAATTAGAAGTCAGACGAGAAGAGGTAGGAAAGATATATTTGATACGTTATCAATATATTTAGGAGCGTTTATTATAAGCTGGCTAGTGAACGTAGGAGCTGTGTCCCACACTGAGTCGAAACGTGATCTGGTACGGATGCATGACCGAAAGCCTTCAGTTAAACAAGTCCACTTAAACAACGTGGTCAGCATCCAATGTCGAACACTTAATGAGCTATTGATTTTGGGGAATTATTTACAGCTACAAGGTGTTACTGGTTAATAGTTGTAAAACTAGAATATCAGTCGTATCTTCAGCATACACCCCTAGTACCTTTAAACTGCATTGGTCGTTTATTTAGGGCTTTGAAGGGAGTTGAGTACCTTGCTCTTCTTTGAATGCGATACCAGAAGTTAACGTGAATCTTGTTTTGAGTGGCTGTGATGGTCTGATGTAGTTGTTCCTAACTATAAATCACTCTTAAGAGATGTACAATCTGCATTTAAATGAGTCCAGGAACTCAACTGTAAATGTGACTAATTAAAGAATGCCCACACGAGAGCAGGAAGAAGACACGAGCATATCATTCAATTTTTTACAAACGCCTCACGGGTTTATCATATACATCGAGTTCATTTAGAAGACAAACTATTTTTCTTTGTTAAACTTGACTTAAGCAGAGATTGATAGACTTGTAGCAGTATTGGTTTTTAACCATGCTAACTCTGAAGCTGGACATATGATTACTGGGCAGATCGCCATTCGACACGTAATATTTAGAGGTCAACAATGGTGACTGTTGAAACTGTTGACCACAGCCATGTTGGCGCTATCAATCAACGTAACCTCTAGCTTTTGTATCGAATATATCATACTCCTCCTAGTCCGAAAGTGTTCTTCATACTGGTAATTGTCACGATAGGTTGGGTCAGTGTGGACTGGGATGTGGCTTCCACATAAGATCTTCTAGATTAGGTAGTCACATCACAGCAAAACTACATTTTTAGTATTAGACCTCAGTTTACATACTCGTTTACATACTCATTTAAATAGGTTGAATTAACGGCTTTTCTTCATAACACCAAACACTGGTATTAAATCAAAGGGGGAAAGTGATGTCAAAATCCATCCAATGTATGTAGTATAATAATTAGTAGTGGTATAATTGTTTTGATAACTAAGAATTACCAAATTAAGTTCCGTAGAACCAGTTGAATACAAGTGAACGTATGGTATTTCTAATTCTTAATAGACCTGCAAATAAGACCAAAAAAATTATCAGTTAGTACAAATAACAACCATCACAGCACTAATGAAAATCCAGATTTCTTTTGTCCAGTTTAGGGATTGTTCATTGTTAACAATTGATAAAAATCTTCAATCAACTCAGTAAGCGAGCACAGAGGGGAGTGAATGAGCGTAAGAAATAAGGGCAAAGAAAAATGAACCAGAGAAGGCATATGGGTCAAACCAATTTAATCAATCGTCACTCAGTATTTGTAGTCGGACGAAAATAAGTTACAGACATGTGATGAGTAAATTAAGAAACACACACATACACTTACATGAAAACGGTCAAGGTTGATACGCGAATGATTAACAAGGTCAAGATGTGACTCAAGAAGGATGAAAAAATGAGCCTGTCCGGAAGCTAGAATAAGCCATGTGGACATGGCATGACGACCAACACTACATACTTGGTTCATTGGTATCAAAAATTCGAACCATAGATTTTCCAGCGTTGTTCATCACAATCCCCGTGGCTGATGGAAGATCATTTTCAAGATAATGCGTAACTCTTATGGACACTAAACACCCCATATTCCAACAGTCAATCCATGTCTGTAATCATTTAGGAGTCTCGTTTGTTGTAGAATGTTCACTTTTCCTACATTTCAACAGAAGTGTTGACTCAAAAATGGAATTAATAGCAGTTTTTAGTATCGTAACGGAATTTTCTGCATGACCATTAGGACAACGATTCTACGGGCAGCAGACAGAAATTTACGCTTTATACAATTGAACAAGATAGCAACTGCAACTCAAGCTAGGGTAGAGTCATTATCAGCCACTAAGCCAATGAAAACCTCCTCCCGACTGAACACTTTACCCAATGCCCAGATTGTTATGTCCGAATTAGGGGAAGTTATGAAAAAACCTCAGGTCACTTAGAAAGCATCAGTGGCGGCATGTATATAGGAATTATCAAAAAGTGGATCAAAACAGTCTGCATGAATTCTCTGTCACGCTTCAAACGATATTAGCCATAGACTGAATTTTGAAAGGTTGATTTTCCGAATCATGACATCTTCAACAACTGCTTGCTGCTTAATTTGTATCTACATTTATCTCTGACCACCAACATGTGAGTCTTGTCGAGAATTCCAAACCTAAATGTTCTCTATGAATACTTAGTAGTACGAACTTACGTAGTGAAGAAGGAATGAAATTGTGATTATTTAAGCACCAAATACCATTAGATTTAGTGAAAAACTCATTTCGTCGCAAAAAATAGACAAGAAATCTACGTTTGAGATTAGAATTTCAGTCTTTTCGTATAACTTTGAGTTCACATTCAAAGTATCGACAAATTTCTCTGATGATACTTGGGTATATCATTAGTAACTGTTGCACCAACGAACGATCTGCAGTGTTAGCAGGTTTAGTTTTAATAATTGCTGAGATATTTAGTCAACAAATTGAATTTATTTTGCACTTCTGTGCTGAATCACATGGATATAGGCACTCAAAATAATACTTCATTGTTGAACCATAGCAGCCGATGAACGTGCTGGGTAATTTTTAGGATGATAAATCAACTTTGAAGCCTTGGTTAGTGTCTTTCAAAATAAGTATTTAGAAAGTCCTTTGATGGCCTAGAACATAGCTAATGTTTCGCACTGAGTTTGTGAACGACCTTGTTTGGCAACAATAAGTTTACCTGGAACACATATTACTGGTCTATCTCCCTGCTCCTAAGCTGCACCAATAATCACAGAAGCTCATCAGTAATGAGAACGGAATGCACACTAGGGGAGAAAGTTTGAAGAGCGGCATCTACTTGCGTGACCGAGTGCCTTTCAACTGAGTGAGTACAGTAAAAAAAGCGGTCAACTTCAAATATAGAAAACCTACAAAGCTGTTGATTTTGAGGATTGATTTACCGGGAAAAAACGTTCGTTTTTTTCAGAATGACTGAATCACTTTTTACTTGAAGTTCTTTAGTCTAATTCCTCATCTCCAAACTACGATTATCGCATGCAGGTATTTGTTTTCAAGCAAAACATCAGAATGTTTCTTATAAACTACTAAAAGCAATTCCACTATAAGCCTTCTCAAATTTATTAAAATCACTATTAGCGGTCCCGTTTCACCAACTAAAGACTCTCAAGTCATATGTGATGACATATCATCTCTAACTACTGATTCACAGCATTCTCATATAAGCAGTTTGTTTCCAGTAATCCACAATAATGAGGCTTCAGTGAGTTGAAGTACAACGTTAGGATCGAAAGGATTTATGTTCTTGTTTTAAATAATGGACTTTATAGTGCCTATATGAACAATAAAGTACTGGAGTGAATCATGGGGGTAACATAACCTACTCTGAATAAGAAAATTCACTTTCGAAACCATGTATTAGGATAAATGATCAGTAAAAGCACTCAATTAAGTAAAATCCGAATTAAAATGATTGTCTTCCTCAGTAGCGAAATGGATAGTAGTGTGACGAACCGACTTCAGGTATCTCATTTGAATACAGTCGGGGCACATATCACGAATAAAT